AATAAACATATAGGGACACATGTCAGAACAAATCTTAACGATGCTTCATCATTAACTTATGCATAGATTAAATTGATACATAGATAGATAGATGAATAGATTCTGCATGTACATATACTGTATAGATATATATATATTAGATATTAGATAGAGGCACTTGTATTGGGAGATAGATACATAAAGTAACAAAATAATAAAAAGTAACAAAATCAATAAAAACAACATAAGTAAAAGAAAAATAAGCGGCAAAAGTAACAAAAGTAACAAAATAACCGAAGTAACAAAAGTAACAAAAGTAACATCTCATGAAGCAAATTAACAATTTCCTATTTTTGCACTATTCAAACCGGAAATAGATGTAAGTAATTAAGTTACCCTGTGATCATTTATATCATAATTGGTTTAATTAGTTAATTGAGGTTTCGTTAATAATATGTTTATGCGTGCTCACACGGGGTCACACCGTTCAAAGGAAACTTTAAAATCGCATCAAACTCTAGCTTTCTTATCCTTATAAATTTGAAACCTAATGTCATAGACCTTTGATATTTTATACAAAGACATATATATATATATATCTATCTATTTATCTATCTATCAATCTATCTGTATATATAATTATCTCCCTCCCCTGTTCCTTCTGCCCCCTGATTAGAATGAGAGTTGAAAAACAATTACAGGGTGTTTCCTCCGTATATTCTACCAATAATTGACCATTTGAAAACCAGCGCCTACACCCTGCCTTCTAGTTAATCTGTCCAGTTAAGCTGTAACCACGGGGTTAACAGAGCTGAGGAGATTTTTAACCCGGAGTAGAACGTTTTTAGAAGTTTAGAACGGGCCTTTGCAATCTTCTAATTGAATTCTTAAGAAAGGAAGGTTTTTCAAAAATATTATCTTCATAAAGAATTTTTACCGATTCATGCCATTACTTTATCACGAATCCATGGTTTGGAGTTAAGTGACAATTTAGTAGATNTACGCACATTTCTCGTCTTGTTTTGAACATTGTACGCACATTTCTCGTCTTGTTTTGAACATTGTACGCACATTTCTCGTCTTGTTTTGAACATTGTACGCACATTTCTCGTCTTGTTTTGAACATTGTACGCACATTTCTCGTCTTGTTTTGAACATTGTACGCACATTTCTCGTCTTGTTTTGAACATTGTACGCACATTTCTCGTCTTGTTTTGAACATTGTACGCACATTTCTCGTCTTGTTTTGAACATTGTACGCACATTTCTCGTCTTGTTTTGAACATTGTACGCACATTTCTCGTCTTGTTTTGAACATTGTACGCACATTTCTCGTCTTGTTTTGAACATTGTACGCACATTTCTCGTCTTGTTTTGAACATTGTACGCACATTTCTCGTCTTGTTTTGAACATTGTACGCACATTTCTCGTCTTGTTTTGAACATTGTACGCACATTTCTCGTCTTGTTTTGAACATTGTACGCACATTTCTCGTCTTGTTTTGAACATTGTACGCACATTTCTCGTCTTGTTTTGAACATTGTACGCACATTTCTCGTCTTGTTTTGAACATTGTACGCACATTTCTCGTCTTGTTTTGAACATTGTACGCACATTTCTCGTCTTGTTTTGAACATTGTACGCACATTTCTCGTCTTGTTTTGAACATTGTACGCACATTTCTCGTCTTGTTTTGAACATTGTACGCACATTTCTCGTCTTGTTTTGAACATTGTAAGCACGTTTCTCGTCTTGTTTTGAACATGTTACGCACATTTTCGCCTTGTTTTTTTTCGAAATTTTGAATTGTTCCATTTTTTTAAATATCAAAAAGAAAAAAGTGTTGAGAAGTAATGATAAACACGTTAAACGCAGTGGCACGACGCGCTTAAAATTTCTAAATTTAAGATATTTTAAATACTAAATATCAAATAGGTTAAATTTAGATAAGTTCAAGTAAATAGATAGGGAATTAGAGAATGGGGCGTGGTATGTAAGTTATGGGCGGATCTAAAGGGCGGGGAAATGAACATATTTAAGAATAAATATATGTGCTTGTATTTGTATAATATTGGGCGGAGGGTTTAACAAATATACATATACATAATATTTAGTACATAATATACATAATGACTAGTACATAAATGTACATAATATTTAGTACATAAATATATATAATATTTAGTAAATAAATATACATAATATTTAGTACATAAATATACATAAATATGCATAATATTGAGTACATAAATATACATTATATTTAGTACATAAATATACTTAATATTTAGTACATAAATATACATAATATTTAGTACATAAATGTACATAATATTTAATACATAAATATATATAATATTTGATACATAAAAAAACATAATATTTGGCACATAAATAAACATGATATTTAGTACATAAATATACATAATATTTAGTACATAAATATGCATAATATTGAGTACATAAATATACATAATATTTAGTACATAAATATACTTAATATTTAGTACATAAATATACATAATATTTAGTACATAAATATACATAATATTTAGTACATAAATATACATAATATTGAGTACATAAATATACATAATATTTAGTACATAAATATGCATAATATTTAGTACATATATATATATAATATTTAGTACATAAATATACATAATATTTAGTACATAAATATACATAATATTTAGTACATAAATATACATACAACTATAAGGGATAATTTAATAGGTTTGTGTCAAAAAGTAGATTGCTTACAAATCTAAATTAAAGTTTGGTGGTAGTAATATACCCCCCTGTGGAACCCCCAATCTATTTAACAGCTTGAATATTTAAATGGTTTCAAGCTCATTTGTGCGGAAAAGGTCGTGCATTTAGAAAATATTATTTTCTAACCATACACACATATAGTTACTAGTCAGCCAGTTAAAATATATAGCCTAGTTAAACCCTAACTTTCTATCTTTAATTTTTAATGTTGGAAATATTAATGAAATTTTTAAAATTATATTTAGCTATCTTTTTCCATCTAACTTTTATTCAAATATCCATCAATCTCATCCAGCTATCTATCTATCTATCTATCTATTTATCTATCTATCTATCTATCTATCTATCTATCTATCTATCTATCTATCTATCTATCTATCTATCTATCTATTTATCTATCTATCTATCTATCTATCTATCTATCCATCTATCGATCAACCAATCTTTTTATCTGGCTATCAATCTATCTATACATTCTCTATCTACGTTTATATCTCTTTATCAATGAATCTATTGATGTATGCAAATATTTCCAAATGCAAGGGCAAATGTGGTCTTGATGTTTAAATAATTTCCATTTTGCATTGGAACTCAGATCTTTCGCAGAAATTGTAAAATTATTTTAGTTCAAGCCATTTATACAATTTTACATGTCAATAATTAATTCTTATTCAAAATATTTTTATCATAAGAAGGTTTTTTTTTGGGTCCGTTGCCCCTTGATGACTTTGTCACTCATTTCCCCCTCTTTAAATAACTCTTTAAACTTTTTCCCTCACTCGGTCCATGATTTTGAATGAATTTGCCTTGTATAAAGAATTCCTGTCTCTGAACACTATTTATCAAAATATAAAATTCAATCAATTCACCCGCAACGGGGAGAGATGCTTTTTGCCGGACATCATATATACAGTGGGGGGACATATATTCATGTGACGGATTGAAATATTGAAAAGGAATTTCAATTTTCTTTCAAGCAAAACACAGAAGTAGGGGAAACAGTGGGGGAATATGCTCTTAGCGAGGTATTTCCCCCTCCATTTGTTTGCTATTCAATATTTACTCAATTTTGTCTGTTTTCAGGCCGGAAATGAAGCGCCAGTGATTCTGTCTTGTTCCCGTAGCGCCACATGAGGATGGGAATACGGTTGCAAAATGAAATATTTTCCAATTTGTTTCCTTCTTCTCATGACTTGCTTGGTCCGGGTGGAAAATGTTCCAATTCCTGGAGACTGTACAACTAAACCCTACCGAGAAAAGGGCGGGAAAAATGAAAACCAAGATGTCCGCCTCCATCTGGACTGTACACTTTCGGCAATCAACAGTGAGTCGGAGAAAACTAATTTTAGCGTAATCCCTGGAGAACACACGGCTAGTTTAACAGTGCGATGCTCGGACACATTATCTACAAGTCACATCGAGCCACAAGGAAACTTTTTTATTCTTTTTTTGATTTTAGCCTGAAAATATCAAAAAATAATTAACAAATGAGTTCATTTCACATGTAACAATCTGTTTATTTTTTTCTATGAAAAGCAACAAATGTTATTGCCATATTTATCAGAACATTTTCTGACATAGCTGGGAACTTTTAGTAATTACGAGAGAAAAAATGTTGACATTTTGATTCATCCAAAAAATATTTAAAAAGTTTCATATAATCAGGTTTTCTGAGTTTAAACCTTCTAGAAGAGTTAGAAATAATAGGTAACCTCATTTCAATATTTTTCGCACCGCTGTATAAGCATAAATTGCAAATATTTAATGAGCAAAAAGTTTCAAATTGCATTTGCTGAAATATATTGATTATTATCTGCGATGATTTTGCGGATTATAGTGCAAAATAGATTGCAAGAACTAATGCGCTTCCTCATTTTGTAAATGCAGGGTTACCCACAAAGAATGAGACCTCAATGATGACCTAAAACTCTGTAAATAAGACGATCCAGGGGTTGAATTGGGTTTTGTGCCTTAAAAATATTTTAAGGTTTAATCAGGCTAATTTGAATATAAGAAAGATTGTAGTTATAAGGAGAACCGTGAATGTAAGAAAAAAGAATACAATCCGTACAGTTGTCTTTAAAGTCTTATTTTTTGCGGTTAATGCTTTATATGGGTAAATTTTTCATTCATTTGGGCATTTTTTTCTTTTTTAATCAAAGAAATGTTTTAATGGATTTTTTAAATATTAAATTATTTTTGAGATAGCTAAAATTTTTTATAATCTATGAAATACTTAGATGAGGATTTTTTTCTTTATTTTCTATTTCAATTTCATGATTTACAATTTATTATTTAATTAATTACAGGGTGTAAATTGGAAAATATACCGGACCATGCTTTTCTGGGGCTTACTAGATTACGTGTTCTCAGGTATCTATCTATCTATCTATCTATCTATCTATCTGTCTTTCTTTCTATTTATCTGTCTATCTGTCTATCTATCTTTCAATCAATTTATCCATCTATCTATGTTTCTATCAATCTATCCATAAATCAATCTATCTATCTATCTATCTATCTTTCCATCAACTTATATTTCAGTCCATCTATCTATCAATCAGTCCATCTATCTATCAATCAATCAATCTATCTATCTATCTATTTATTTTATAAATCTATGTTTTTTGGCTACGCTCAATTTAACACAACCGAAGTTAAATAATTACTTTATTAACTGGTAAAGGTACAAATTTTAGTTAAAGTTTTTGAGTATCAAATATCAAGGTGACGTGGCAGAAAATCAGTACGTCTTGCCGCGTTCCAATATCCGGCTTCAGTCTCTTCATAATAGATCGTCTTCCGCCACAGTTTTATATATCTATCGATCCTTTACTTATTTTTTATTCAAATTTTCAATTATTCAATTTTTTCTATTATTTATCCTACTTTACTTATTATTGTACAATTTTATTCTGATTCTTTCATTCTGATGCTTTTATCCTTTTTTCAAGGACTGAGCAAACTTGTTCTTTTCTATTTTTACTTTTTCTTTGATCTCGCCTTTACATTCCATCTGACAATGTACGGTGTGCCCCGAATACTATATTTATATTTAGATTGGAGAGCTCCACAACAACTCCACTATCCTTGGATCCAGGAAGTATGTCAGGTATTGGGAGCCTGGAGCACCTTGATATATCGGAGCGGGAGTTGGAGCTCCTTCATCCCTCAGCTCTCTGCTCCCTTCCCTCTCTCAGCTCCCTAAAGTTGGAGGGAGGAAGTTTCAGTTCTCTGGAAAATTTAGGAAAGTTTTCGTAAAAAACTATTTAATGGTGAGCTGCTTGGTTTCTATGCCTAAACTTTGGTTTTCTCTTTTTCTCTCATTGAAATTACACCAAAATCATTTAACCTAGCCATATTTATGTAGATTTTAATTTTATGATTAATTTTATTTCTGAAAAGCACATAAATTATAATTTAAAATCAAATTTATAAAAGTTTTACTTATAACAAAAAAGTAAATTTTTGTTTGAAAATGTTGGTTGTCTAAAGGTTTTCAGAAAGTCTGTTGAAATAGTTATTGCTAAATGAAAAACTAATCTAGAAAGAATTGATTAAATTGAACTAAAGTGAAATAATTAGAAACTTTAACCCCTTCTCACTCCCCCCCTCATCATTCAACCAAAATCCCCCCATCTTTCACCCCCCCCT